CTTTCTTTCTTTCTTTCTTTCTTTCTTTCTTTCTTTCTTTCTTTCTTTTTTCTTTCTTCCTTCTCTTATTTTCTCTAGTTCAAAGTAGCCAACTACCAAATGACCTCAGAATAATTTGTCTGCCTTCAAGGAAAGTAACAACATTAGCTTAATCATGGCAGCTCTTTCTGGAACAATATACTGTACTTTCTTTTAAACTTTTGCTTATTTGTGTTTAGGAATGTAGGCAACCATGAAGCATGTAATTCTGTTTAGGTTTCTTTACATTTTGGTTTCAACTCAAGAAGAACCCACACCTTTACCTTGAATTTCACTTTAGACAAGATTTAGGTGGCAATTTTAAAATGGAACAATGTCAACTATTCCTACAAGGTTTGATCTGGGCAGTTATTTTTAGGAGAAATACAATAGTGGTTCCATTCCAAATTGGAGATTAACATATGAACAAAATGCCCATGAGTTGGCAACAGTAATTTATTACATTTCTTGAATCCCAACATACACAAAGAGAATTTATCACTAGAATGCTGGTTTCTGTAAAGCAGTGTTCATTTCTGAATTATCCTAAAGATCTTTAAATTATAAGCCTGTTTTCCTGCAATTTTTCTAATCAGCAGCTTCCTTATAAGAAGATATGGATGTGAAAGACAGTCTGCTGTGCAAAACTCCACTGGAGTGAACAAAAGAAAGAGAGAAAGAGACAAAGAGAGATGTACATTTATAGAAAATTAACAAGTCATTTCCATATTCCATGTTTTGTGGCTCTCTGTCCTCTTATTCAGCCAGGAAATATGTGTCATCTTTCTTGATCTTTCTTCCCAATATTAAAATACCTTGAGCTCACATTAAAAATAAGTACAATTACAAATTTGTACAATCTTCAAATGGAAAAAATTAAATAGATGACAGTTAACACAGTATAAGTAAAATTGTACTTGTAAGTGACTTTTCTTTCTTTACAAATGGGGAGAATTCATAATGTTGGTACTTGGGGAAAAAGACAATATTCCTTTGGTTCTTATTTATAAGCTTTATTTCAATACTGATATTTACAACATCTTTTTACCCATGGGTATAAGAACATTGGAAGTTGCAACATCCTGTTGGCTGATTGGAAATCTAGTTTAACTATATAGATCTCACTATTTGCATGTCTGTCCTTCTATACATTACCGCATGATTCCCATTTCCCCAGAAGAGAAATGATGCCAGGGAAAAGATCCCCTGTAATATGAACCCAAGATGAATGGATTTATTTTTTTCTCTGTTAGGTAAACAGGGTGATTTTATTTTCCCACTGTTTGTAGCATCATTGCTAAAAAGCAATCACACATATAATTCCTGCAGACACCTGTCTGCTATTAAACAGTGCAATAATTAACATCCATAGGAGGAAGAAATTAACACATTGTTTCTTTTGTTCCATTTTTCAAGCTCTTTACTGCAGTACTCCAGAGTCACCCCCTCATGGTTTCATTGTAAGCCAGACAGGAGGGCAGCTGAACAGCGTGGTTCGCTGGGCTTGTGACCGAGGATTCCGTCTCATTGGAAAAAGCACTGCTGTGTGTAGAAAATCTCCCCTTGGATACTATGCATGGGATGTACCTGTACCAGCCTGTCAAGGTTAAGATTTTCACTACAAATTTACCTTCTCATAGTTTGGCCCTTTGAAGTAAACCAGGTCAAGAAACAGACATTACAAAAAATAAAATAAAATACTAGAACTCTACTGTATGGAGACTAGCTATAAAAACAGAATTTTGAAAGCCTGGTAGATTTTCTTGTTCCTTTCCTCTTATTCTCATCAGAGTCTAGTATCTTCTTCACTCCTTTCTTTAGTGGGGGGAGGCTTAATTACTGCCCCATATTTTTTTCCAGGCTAACCCTGTACACTTCTACAAATGCCAACCAACCCTTTTATCCTAGTTCATGGGCAGTCCTGCTTACTTTCCTTAATATAGCACATAGCTCCTAGTTAAAGAATACACATATCTCCAGATGATGAAGTATAAATGGTTTGCCAGTTGCTTTCCAGTAACAGTTAATTGTAAGAGTTGTTTTTTTGGGCATCTATAGATAGGCACATGAGGAAGTCAAGTGGCAAAAAAACTTGACATTATCCACTTGCATGGAAATTGTGATTCAAATATGGAAAGGGAATTATGACAACATGATATCCACTTCTTCATTTTGGCACCATTGGTGCTAATTGAAGATGACTGAAGTCCAAAATAAATGGAGTCTTATGGTCTTTATCACAGATCTTCATCCATTGGAACTTACTCAGGCAATAGGTTACCACATAGAAATGATGGTCTGAGGCAAAGTGAGCAGTTCTTATTCTTAAATCACACTGGTAGTCACTGATTGTTTTTACTTGATTGTCATCAATAGGAACTTCATATGCACCAAAAATTTCTAATTGTTAACTTAGCTGATATCAGAACTTATGATATTTAATGTTCACACTGGAATTTAATAAATATATTTTTGCCTTATCATCATTGGACATTAGAGAATTGGTGATTAAAGAAAGGGTCCTATCACAGAGTCTTGACTATGGAATGCTGTCCTATGAGACATGCTCACAATAGGATTTCAAACTTACTTTTTGTTAAGATCCTGGCCAGGACTTCTGACTTTTAACCTACATGGCTTAGGAATGGATTACCTAGAGGGATCATCTTTTTTTTTAAAGACTCGGTACTCCTCTAACAAGTGGTGGAATTCAATTTTTTTTACTACCAGTTCTGTAGGTGTGGCTTGATGAATGTGGCAGGGGAAGGATACTGTAAAATCTCCAGTCAGAGGTGGTATTTGCCGGTTCTCCGAACTACTCAAAATTTCCACTACTGGTTCTCTAGAACTGGTCAGAACCTGCTGAATACCACCTCTAACTCAATTTAGCAGAATGGGCATGCTGCAGATTCTGTCAGCCAAAGAGGGTTGACTGGCAAGCAGTAGAAGATGAGCTTTTTCTATTCATCTTTAGCAGAAGAAAGGGCCCTGAGGATGTGGAACATCCTCCCATGGACATTAGAATGGTCCCAACCCTCTAAGCCTTAAGGTCCTAAAAACCTGGATATGATACCAAGCCAATTGTAATATATTTTTTTAACTGTAAGAGATCCAGAGTCATTGATTGAGATGGGCAGCTATAGAAATTATTTTTACAATGTTAATGAAACAAATGTTAAAAAACAATGTTAAAAAAACAAATGTAGCACTTAGAGATTTTGAGCTCTATCATGGGTTGCTTTAACTCTTGGATATCACATTGTTGTCGTTTTTTGTTTTAATTATTAACTTAATTGTATTTTATGAGTTTCATTATTATGATTATTTTATGAGTTTTATTATTTGGATATAAGCACTCCACATACTGGAGATAAGCAGAATATAAGCACTGCAAAATTAATTAATATCAAGATCTTTTTATCAGCCTAGGTTATATACAACGTACAATAACGTTTTAATTTGTTTTATTTTTGTTCATATTTGGTGCATGACTTTCACCTTGAAAAATATCAACTTGAAAAATGAATTTTATATTGCATTATTATTATTATTATTATTATTATTATTATTATTATTATTATTGTTGTTGTTGTTGTTGTTATTGTGTTCACTATAATGTGAAATCACAGCTGCCAGTTATTTAGCTGATATTGGCCCTTCATAAGTTTCAAATTATAAATCAAGAACCTAGGATGTTTTAGGATCAGCGTAGTATATGTTTTATTCCAATCAGATAACTATGTTATCTGATTCAGGTTTACCTGAAACACCGTGGGGTGAGGCCATAATGTGTAGTAACCATGTTTTAAACAATGTAGTTAATACAACAACTGGAGAATTGCCATTCACTGTATGCTGTGTGTGTATTATTCAAACACTATTCTCTATACGTCTCCCTGTATGCACTCATTCTCCTAACGGGGAATTACCTCAACACACGGTTAACATTTGCAATTTAAACATACTATATACAAGTGAATACGCACATAGAAAAATGCCAGCAGAATGTTTTCCCAATTTTATGCAAACCATTTACTGGTGGAGGCATGATTTCAAGGATTTGAAATTTTCTGAGATCCAATTCTTAAAAGATTAAAGAGTTCCAAACAGAAGACACCATTTAAATTTACTGAAATCAAGTTTATTTTAAAACTCTTACGTTGATTATTTAAGTTTTATGGATTTATAAATGTAGCAGAATGCTCTACAAATACCTGTGTACTTGAGAACTTAAGGGCAATATGATTTTCTTAGCTGAGCTCGTATATCTATTTGACTTGATTATCATTTGGTAATTCATGAATAAAATAGCTACATGCAAAACGTTTTCTGCTCAGACTGTCCTGGCCCTATAAAGTTCTGTTCAGGGGTGGGCTTCAAAAATTTTAGCAAAGGGTTCTCTGCCCAATTGCTGGGTGGGTGTGGCCATGGTGGACATGGCCTAGTTGGCCTCCTGCCATTGGGGGGGTCATTTTTGCCCTCCCTGAACTCTGGAGGCTTTCCCTGAGCCTCCAAGAGGGCGAAAACAGCCTCCCTGGGCTCCAGAGGCTTCCTGGAAGCTGGAAACAGGCCCATTTCCAGCCTTCCTGAGCTTCCAGGAGGTCTATTTTTTACTCTGCCCAAGTGTCTGTGTGCACTCTGCACTTACCTGTATCCCAAATGGGCTGCATGGGGCTCCTGGGAGTGGCGGGACAGGGTGGGCAGGGCCAGCCATGAAAGGGATTTGGGGGTTCTTCAAACTGCACAGAATCTTAGGGGCTAGGGGCTCTCCCGAACCCCTGAAAACCCCCAGCAGCCCAGCCCTAGTTCTTTTCCTGCTGACTAGTTTAGATTTGTAGGATTGTTTGGATGGTTGTTGTTTTTTTTCCATTCTAATTCTTGGAATCTCAAGCAGCAATAATCATGTGAAAACCTTTGTCTGTGTCTACATATGTGAATCAATCCACAAATGAAACTGGATTTTTTTTTTTACTATTTTTGTCTTCCTGGATCTAAAGGGAGTAGCATATGCAGTGTTCAAAAACATTTCAGAAAAAAAAATTGTTGGAATGAAACAAGGGGAAGAGCAATGTATTTTTAAAACAGATGTATCTTTTTTTTTTAGATTCCCATGTAATCTGGAATACAAATGTGTCTCTTTGATTAGTTGATATACAAAAATAACCATGTCTATTATGCAGCAGCATCCTATGACAAACTCATTTGGAAGTCAAGAAAAAAAAAGTTATGGCTTATAAGAGGAATGCTGTACTCATACTTGACCATACCTCTTCCAAACAATGCTCAAAGTGTGCATAGTTTTTGTACAAAGTTCGAGCTATTAAAGGGCTTAAAGGGATTCAGTTAAAAGGAAATAACTTTTGACTTGGACATTCATTATATACAGAAGTTGTTTGAAACCTGAATAATAATAATAATGATGGGGGGTGCTTGGTGCTCTCTGAGTTTGATTGTTTTATTGCAGGTATTTCATTACAAAACTAAGTAACATCGTAAGTGATAGAAGGGAGTGGGGTTCACGCTCTATTTATATACAGTACTAGTGGCTTGCCTGTCAGTATTGGTGGAGTGTCCTTGGTAGTTCCTTGATTAGCTATTTGTCTGAGTTGGTAATTAATTGATTGAGCTTTTGTTTACTTCTTATCTTTTGTCTAGTATTAATCTTGTTCCGAAAGGTATTTTTTTCAAGAGGCCACTGGACTTTCTGGTTTTTCTTTGAAGACGTTTCACTTCTCATCCAAGAAGCTTATTCAACTCTGACTGGATAGTGGGGAATGGAAGGAATTATATTCCTTGTAGACAGTTGGTCATTAGCATACTTTTAGTGAGTCATTGAGGCCATATCTGTGTCATCAGGGTCACCTGAGTAGTGTAAATGGATATGGAAAACCATGCTCTGGATGACTGAGAATCTACATAGGCATATAAATCTTACTGTTAATTTCTGATTATTTGGGTGTTAATTGCTGGTGATGAGGTGTTTTGGTCTTTTTATTTCCTTTTGGGCTTTTTGATTGTCTTTTGAAAGATATGTACACTGATAGTGCAATTTCTATTTCTAATCTTAGATTAACAGAATGTGATGTTCCTTTTAGCAGTACAGCATAAATCAGTATGTCTTTGCTTTCCATTTGTCTTGTCACCACAATTATGATTGATAATTTACAAAAGTCAGAGTGTTGAGTCTTGTCATTCTTACAAGTAATCAGATGCCCTTTATGTTATCTTAGCCACCTGAAAATCACTACTTGATGAATAGCTAAGTGAATTCAGTAAGATCAACATTCTAACCAATATGGATGGAGTTTCAAACTGATGGTCCTGATCCTCTGAGCAGTACCCACTGCTGGAAAAATAAAGAAGAGGTTGAGGAATGCTATGGCTCAGTGGTGGCTCATAGATATATGAGATTCCTAGTCTGTGACATGGTTCTGAGCAATTGAATCAGGACTCAGAAGCTCCATTCAGGCTTGAAAGACCTTTTATTGAGTACATCATATCGGCACTTAGAAAGTTGAAGTTAGCTCTGAGTAATTCCCATGCTTCAGAGTAATAAAAAGAATAGAAACGCCCCACCCACCCCCTTAGGTGTCCTGGGTCATGTTAACCAATAAGGTTAGCAGGATCTTCCCACTCGGTCTTAGCAGATGTTCATTGCTATGACCTTGGTTCACACGCTGCACCTGGTGGATGTTTTGTTTAGTAGGCTCAGGCACCACATTCCAGTTCTTTCTACTCCTCCTCCCCAAAAGAGTGACAACTAAAAAACAAAGCAAAAGTAAATATGGCTTCAGCTGTAGTCATTTGGAAGTTGACAGTCTGCTTTGGCTGATGGTGCTACCATCTGCTGATGTAAAGATTTGAATTTTCAGAATGATTCTGAAGGATGGGTGGTATTGACTCCTCACCAAGACTTTGGCATCCTAGGCCAATGCCAATTTGTCCTTAGCCTAACCCTTACCCTGATGCAATGATATTTAAACATGTACACTACACATCATACAAATTGAGAATTATTCCTTAGTTAGGGTTGTAAAATAGGAGTAAGGGGATAATAAAATATAGTGTCCCTTTTCAACAGCTATTTTTACAAACATCAGATTTTTGGAAGCAGATGGATACTTATATAAACTCTTCCAATGATGGTTCTCTATGGCTTCTAGAGTACTTTTAATGACTTCCAAACCAATAGTTCCCCTTTATTTTAGTTTTATTGAACTAGTTTGTTTTATTGGACTTGGTTGTGAAATATGCACATACAAAGACACAGGGGTTTTATTTTTACCCTCAGGAAAATCTCTAGCAAGTGAGAAAAAAAAAATACTCACAAGTACATATCTATTATTTCTCCATACAGAATGCATTTAAATCTTTTAAACATGTCTATTAAATAAGCAAGCATCAGCGACAAATAAGCATCATTTCAAAACTTGAACAAATAATCTCTTTTGTTTCTTTTCAGTGTTACAAATTATTCTATCAATGCTGATTGGCAGGTATAAAATTCAAGGCTATAAAAGAGATGGGGAACTGAATAGGCTGACCTTGGTCTTCAGTTTGTATTATTCCAGGCATCATATTTTTGAAGGAAATGCTGTAAACCTTTATGATAAACTACTTGAATGAAACATGGTATCAAGACATATTCTGCTAGTCTAACTCAGTAAGAAAATAGAGCAAATAATTTGCAAAAAAAAGTACGGAAAAAATATGTTATTCACCAAATGATCACTCAGAGAGCAGCAGTGATGCTATGCTGCTAAATCAGCCAGCTAGTAAAAAACAGCAAGCAGTTAAACATATCACCTGAAGCCTTTATGGGAGTGAAACGAGAGTCCTTCTAAAACATCATTATAGAACCTGCTCCACTTTTCCTGTTCAGAAAAAAAAAAAAAATCATTCTTTTCAATCCTGATGTCTGCATTTTCTTGAGTTTTAAACTTCTGGAAGATTTTGTTGGCACTGAGTTGGTTCTTCTCTTTTGATAGGTCCCATTTTGCTCAAAAGCCCAAAGCAGTTATATTCCAAGTCATATTTAGAAGAAGCCAACCTTTTGATGACTAAATAAATAATATTTAGAGTATTGTTTATTATAAGAGCAAATTTCCAATCTGAAATGTAAGCGTTCCAAAAGGAAAAAAAATCTAATTGAGTCAGAAAGGCATAAAAGTACTTGAATCCTAAGTAGTTGGAACTTATTGTAATCCTGTTGTATTGATTGGGAGTTTTTCTGGCTTCAGACACTGCAAAGGGGTAATGAAATGAAGTTTGATGATGTGAAGCATCAAAAACTAAGAAATACATGCTGAGTTTCTTCTAAGCAGTTTCCTTTATTGTTCATCATGTATAGAAGAAATATTACCAAACTAAAGTAGATTACTTGCATAATTAAAAATAAACTTTGAGAACCTTTAGGGAGGATATGTCTTGACCCTCTTCCTGCCAACAAAACTATCTAAACTTTGCTGTCTCTTGCTTCTCTGGAATACAACCCCCATTCCTGGAATCCAGAGTACATTCTACCACAGAAGACACTCATTTGCAAGGACAGGTGGTTGTGAAAATTAAAAAAAAAGTCTGAATGGTACATTATTTTTGATACTGCAATCCTGCAAAGCATTTTAGTCATGTTTTCATATCTGAATTACAGTTCTATTTCTGAATATTAGAGGTAATAAACATAGAAATCAAATTTGCCTGTGTAGTCAGATCCTGCAAACTTGCTAATCCTTCCAAGCATCTTTAACCATTTTAAGAACTCTGAAATCATATTTTCATATTTGAATTACAGTTCTATTTCTGAATATTAGAAATAATATACAGAGAAATTGAATTTGCCAGTGTAGTTGAATGACATTTTGCCTGCCTGTGTTAATGTTTCAGCTATCTCCTGTGGAATTCCAAAAGCTCCTTTAAATGGTGGGATATTAACTACAGATTACTTAGTAGGTACATACGTTACTTACTTTTGCAATGATGGGTACCGGCTATCGTCCAAGGAACTAACCACTGCATCCTGCCAGCCAGATGGCACATGGAGCAACCACAATAAAACACCTCGCTGTGTAGGTAAGCATAACCTAGAAAGGATTTCTTTGCTTTGTTGTTAAACAGTTAAAGATCATTACTACTGTTTCACTTTCCAAATAATTATAGATTTAAAAAGATTGTAGGTAATGAGTGAAACATCCCATACACATAAGTGAATGTATGTACAGGTAGTCCTCAACTTACAACTATTTATTTAGTGATTGCTAAATAAGCTACAACATCACTGAAAGAAGTGACTTATGAGCAGTCCTCCTGCTTACTAGTGTTGCTTGTTGTAGCATCCCTATGATTATATGGTCAAATTTAGGCTCAGGTGGTTACAGCATCCTGAGATCATCTGATCATCATTTGTGACCTTCCCAGGGGGCTTCTGACAAGCAAAGGCAATGGGGAAAGCTGGATTTGCTTAATGACCACCTGATTCACTGAACAACTGCAGTGATTTGCTTAACAACTGTGGCAAAAAAATGATGCAATTCACTTAACAACTTGTTTAGCAATGGAAATTCTGATCGCAATAATGGTCACAAATCAAGGATTACCTGTATTCAAAGAAAAAACTGGTGGGATTCAGCCAGTTTGCACCACTTTGGGAGAACCAGTTGTTAACTTTCTGAGCAGTTTGGTGAACTGGTTGTCGGAAGAAATCATTATGGCAGAGAACCGGTTGTTAAATTATTCGAATCCCACCACTGCCCACAAGTCTATCATACTATGTTGACATGAAGTTATTTTCCGTTCAGAAGTCTGACAGCCCACAGGTAGAAACTATTCTTCAGTCTGTTGGTGTGGCTGGTTGTGCTTCTATATCTCCTAGCAGATGGTAGGAGAGTGAAGAAGTGCTGACCGGGGTGTGAGTCATCCCTGAGAATTTTCCTCACTCTTCTAAGGTAGCGAGCCTTAGCGATGTCATCTAGGATGTTATTTTGAAGTTACAGTGGGATAAGAACTATCTGTATCAGATAAGAACAATCTGTACCAGATAATAATTTGGGGATTTAAAAAAGTTTTCCTCCCAAACATTCTCTGTAAGAGAGAAATCACAAAGCTGGCAGAATCTTTTCCAGCTAACCATTATGTGCAGCTGCATCTTATAAAATATTTTGCCTTAAAAAAAAAACCTTGTTAATCAGAAGACATGGAACCGGACTTATTGTAGTCTAAACTCTGTGTAGTTTCACCTTATACCAGTTTTAATTCATATAAACTACATAGCTTCAATGTTATCTTCCTAACCACACACTGAGGTTCAAAAAAACAAACAAACACCCTTGTGTAACTTAAGTACTGGGAACCTTTATAGTCACAAAATCAAGTAAGGCTTGTTTTCTTGAACAGTTTAAGCACAGTATATATTTCTGTCCAAAACTCTTTGGACATCTTTGAGAATCCCTCATGAATACCAAATTAAGCTAAATGACAGGATACATAGATGAAGACCTCATTTCAATACTGTGCTTGAGAAAATTGCTTGGCACCTACCAGATAGACTTCCTACTGATGGTCTTTTTTCAAGGTGGCTAAAATCAAAGATTTTAACTGTTTGATAATTTTTCAATGCTGGAAAAATTTGGGAATTATGAATCTTATATATTTTACATTGTTTCATTGTAAAAGCTCTTCCAGGCTAATTGTTCTCAAATGTTATTGTTTTTTATATTAGGTTAGAAGGGTGTTTTTTTTTTTTTGCTTTTGTTTTTTGTAAGCTACTAGAGAATGCTTGTTTAATGAATCTATTGATTCATTTAATGAATTTATACATTCAAAATCATCATGATCAGACTAGAAATAAATAAACAATGCTGGAGGGAGATACTATATACTTATCAAAATCACAGGAAAAAATAGAATCTTCCTTTGAATACAAAATGCATGTTTTATGCTCCAAACTTTAATAAAACAAGTCAAAACTTGCTCGATTTTCTTTTAATGAACAAAACAGAACTTAATTATTGCCAAAAGTTATGCATATGGTAATGAGAATGAGAATGATGATTGAAAGAGTGTTCCATTTGTTTTTTCAGAAGAAGAGAATGTTGCTTATTTCGTAAAGGAATAGACAAAATTCACTAAGTGTGCAGAAGGTTTTGCTATGCACAGACACGTAGATACATGCATATATGCACACATATACATCATCTGTCCATTCTTTGTTTTTATATCTGGATGCCATCATTTGACATAGTGACAAGGAGGAATAGAAAATAGAAAAAGCAAAATAGCTAATTGGGAAATTAAAATCAAACTGAATATAACAGAGAGAAGAGGACCTTTGAGGTCTATTTAAGCCATCTGCTGCAGAACTTGCTTCATAAAAATGCACCAGAAACTGTAAAGATCTCCACATGTAGAACAACACCATAAAGGCAATTAATAGTGAGGAAAAAGCCTTTCACCTAGAAAAGATATGTTGTGTGAATTATTGGAATGGACCTTCTTTTAGAGTTTTAAGTGGATCATTATTTAAACATGGTGAAGTACTCTTATTATTTTCAGTATTGAATAGAATCCAGATAGATACAAGCATAGTAGAAATAAGGTATAATTACAGTTGCAAAGTTTTGTCACTTTTTTGTGCAATCTGGTTTTCCATCCTATAGCCAAGGATATTGTTAGGAGGGAAAAAGCACTCTTATTAGTTATGACATATATTCATTTTCTGATAGAAAAAGCAATTATGGATAGACCCTAGTGATGTGATTCTGCTGATATTAATAATTTACAAGTCATAAGTTAAATAAGAAATTTTCATTTTAAAATATGAATATCCTGCTTCAAGATGTACAATAATCATCTGAATTCCAGAAATGTTTATATAAGGAACATATTCCTGTTCAAATAAACAAGCATGTTTAAACTCTAATATGTGGTTCACCAATTAATTATTTTGAGCAATAAAACAAACATTCTCTGTAGCCAAAAAAAATGTTAAGCTGAAAGAAAGGATTAGCTACAATCTAAAGATTACTATGCAAGTACTGCTTGGTTTAATTTATGAATTAAGATTAAGATTCATGTCCTAATACAGAAAGTGATATCAAGGATAGATCCTTTGAAGCTCTCAAAATATATTCCTTTTTTTTCCTTTCCATTTCAAGTTGTTACCTGCCCAAGCATTAATTCATTTACACTGGAACATGGAAGGTGGCGAATAGTGAATGGTTCTCACTATGAGTACAAAACAAAAGTAGTTTTTAGCTGTGATCCTGGCTACCATGGGTTGGGACCTGAATCCATTGAATGTCTTGCTAATGGAACTTGGAGCTGGAGAAATGAGAGGCCATACTGCCAAAGTAAGTATTCTACTATTACTTATTTGTCTTCAAATTCAAAACATATCCTCCCCAGCAATCAACATCCAGTTAAGTAGAGATTAACACCAAGATTAATACTAGACCAGTGAGGGCCACATCCGGGCTGTGGTTGACCTTGGGGGGGCTGGGCAGGCATGGCTGACTAGGTGGGCATAGCCATCTTGACACTACTCCCCAAACTGCTGGTATGTTTTCTCTTCTCATTGGGTAGACTGGGCTGAAGCAACGCGGGCCAGCCCCTTACATTTTCCAGGATGGACCTGTGGGCCAGATCTGACCACATTGCCAGCTGGATGCAGCCCATAGGCCTTGTGTTTAACACCCCTGTACTAGACCAACAACTAATAAGAACAGGTAGTCCTTAACATATAACAATTCATTTAATGACCCTTCAAAGTTACATGGCACCAAAAAATGGATTTATAAATGTTTTTCATCCTTACAAACATTGCAGCATCCCATGGCACCTGATCAAAATCCAGATACTTGGCAACTGACTTTTATTTTGATGATTGCAACATCCTGGACTCATATGATCACCTTTTTGACTTTTACGATAAGCAAAGTCAAAGGGGAAGCCAGATTCACTTAGCAATCATGCTATTAACTTAACAACTGCAGTGACTCCCTTAACAACTATAGCAAGAAATGTTGTAAAATGGGGCAAAATTCACTTAGAAGCTGTCTCCACTTAGCAATAGAAATTTTGGCTCAATTGTGGTCATAAATTGAAGATTACCTGTAAATAATACCCCAATCAGGGAATGTCCGACTCAGACAAACAAGCTAACAGTAAACAACAGCCCAATCAAGGAACCATCAAAAACACTCACAGCAACACTGACTACTAGTATATCAATAGAGAGTAAACCCCTTCCCCTTCTAACACTGATGATGTTATCTAGTTTGGTAGTGAAATGTCTACAAGAAAACAACCAAGCTCAGAGAGCACCAAGGACCTCACCGTTTAACCCAGGGGTGGGATTCTACCAGTTCGCACCTATTCTCTAGAACCAGTTGTTAACATTCTAAGCAGTTCGGAGAACCAGTTGTTAGAAGAAATTACTGGCCTAATCCTGTAAGGAAGGCAGGAAGGAAACATTCTGGTGTTGCTTACAGAAACTGCCTCTCTGTTAACCCTTATTACATTCTTGGCAGGACTAGACTTCCTGTCTCAGGAACTTCTCTGGAGTTTTTTTTCCCCTCCTTTGCTGGTACTTTGCTTGTGTGGAGTGACCATTCAAAGTTACAATGGCACTGAAAAAGTGACTTATGACCATTTTTCACACTTACGACTGTTGCAACATCCCCAGTCATGAGAGGCCAGGTGAGGAGATGCGTGCCTCGATATGAATGATATTGAGTTGGCCACACCCAGCCAATAACATGACCACCAAGCCATGTCCACCCAGTCACATGACCACCAAGCCACACCCCCACCTAAGCCACACCCACAGAAACGGTTGTTAAAAATTTGAATCTCACCCCTGGTTCAACCCTGAACTACAAATATTATCATCTGGTAGTATCATTCATATTCAACTAGTTCCAGGTCCTTATTGATCCTTATATTCAATAGTTATTTATTTCCAACATCCTTGTGTTAGTCTTGAAGACCAGCAAACTGAATCTTAGGATCCTTTTTCAATATGGCAGACTTTTTTCATATGAGGATAATAAGCCTATTATCCTCATCCTGATATTACTGCTGGGAAAAATCTCATGGACTGTATCAGTAAAACTTTTAACTACACAAGACGATCCTTGAAACCTCCAGAAAGCCAACATAATAATGTGATGGCTTCAAAATAAAGTACATTCACCAGTTTTATTCTCTGCAGTTTTCAGAATCAGCCTTAGACCTATCAGTAGTCGCAGAATCAATTTTATTTCATTGCACGGTATTGTTTTCTGTCACTTTACCTACACACTGTTTAAAATACACTTCAGATTAAAGATTTTTTTTCATGTGGGTCTTATCCTAGCTAGTCCTAAAGATTTTAACATTTTTATTGTCATTGCTGTTTTTTTTTAAATATTTTAATTCATTTTGCTGATGGTGTGAATGCAACATACATTGCAAATAAGTATATTTCTTATTTTCAAAGTTATTTCCTGTGGAGAACTTCCTACACCTCCAAATGGGAATAAAATTGGAACTCAGATTACATATGGCTCGACTGCTATCTTTACTTGTGACCTAGGATTCATGCTGGTGGGCTCAGTGGTAAGAGAATGTCTCTCTTCTGGACTATGGAGTGGAATTGAAACACGATGCTTAGGTAAGGAAACACATACTTTAAAAAACAAAAACAAATTGGATATATTTTAGTATCACGTGTAACTTCCTTATAAAAATTCTGACTTGAATACTTTTTTTCCCCAATGCATTTGTTTCCACTTCACTGGCCAGTCTCGGATTTGTGAACACGTGACAGATGAATGAACCTAATTGAGGATTATGCTATAATTAATTAAAGTTAACTACACCATCCATTTAAAGCAAAATGATTATCATTTACAGGTTCTCCCAGAGACCAAGCTGTAATTCTGTTGGATCAAGGGTGTGCAATTTTTAAAAATTATTATTTATTATTATTTATCTATACTGTATATTTTGAGGGGGGAAACCACTTTCTTCACTGGACATTGTTTTTTAAATCAGTTTTACAACAATGGCTTGGCAATTTTTAGTTTAAAAATTGCACAGGACACAAGACTCTTGACAGTCCCTAAACAACTTCCCTAATTTCAGTTAAATGTTTTAATTGGCAGTTCTTTGACTCTTCTGTGGAAAACAAAATATGAATCATCTTAATCCTTTTAAATATTCACCTTAAGTTGAAAAAATGGTTATACTTCTTAGGTAATGTTACCTTTTCTAGATTGTGTTAAAGACTAAATATCAGTAATTTTTTTCCCTTTATTATTATTTTTTATAATATGGAAATGTTTGTTACTGTTTTCTTCCCAATCTTGTTTATTGCTGTGATATTGTTTGGAAAACATCCTATAAAAGTTCTATTCAGTCCTGACCCTGCTTTGCTTACCAGACTAGACAAGGCCAAATGGATGCTTCTTTCCAGTAAAAAGAATATTCCAGTACTTCTATAAATCTTAAAGTCTACCCTCCTTATTCCCTTAACAGACATATTTAATTACCAACTAAGGATATATTTTATGTAGGAAGATAAACAGGGTGCAAAACACAGTAGATACATTTAGTTATTTAGAAAGAGAAAAGTTAGAGAGCTACAGAGAAGATCCCTGAAGATGGACTCCAGCACAAGTCCGAAAGCTTGGGAGATAAAATGTCTGGTCCAAGTGACCAACGCAGATTGGGTCCTGCAACATTTACCATATTTTTCACTTTATAAGACACACTTTTTTGTCTGCCAAAAGGGGTGGAAATGTCTGTGCATTTTATGGAGCCCCACCCACCCACCAGCCCCCACCCTTTGGCCCCACCCTAGCATGTCCCATTTTCATCCTGTGTGCACCCCATTTTTTGTCTCTGTGTGTTCCATTTTGCGGCTTTGTGCAGAGGCCAAAAAATGGGGCACATGAGGGCCAAAAATGGGACGTGCAGAGGTCAAAAACATGATGTGGAGAGGCCAAAAATAGGGCACGTGGAGGCCGAAAATGGGGTGTGTGTGTCTTATGGTCAGGTGCATCTAATGGAGCAACAAATACAATAGTTATTGTATTAGTATTATATGTTTAAACTTTTTTTTTGCTGGGGGAGGGGGAAGCTAAGTGGAACCATTCTATATACCGAATGTCTTTCTGCTGAACAACATTATTCAGAAGGCAGATTAAAAAGTAAGGAATGGTAAGCTAGAGATATTAAAGGCATCAAGTAAGAAAAAGAAACAGAGTTGAAATAATTTACAGCAAATCCAATCCCTATACAGTACAGATTTATCATTGAAATCTATTTTTTTTCTTCTATTAGGCCCATGCACCAATCCATGCAATCCCTTTTATTTTTTTTAGACTTTTCACCTCTGCCTTTTTTAGGTATTCAATATTTCAACAACTCTCTCCAAATATTTCTTTATTTTTCTGTCCCTTCATCTTGACCCGATCACTATTAGGTCATATATTTGTTTTGCAATTCCGTCTCTATTCATCCTATATGATCAAATCACTTCAACTTACTGTTTGCATACTGCTTGTACACATTTGCTGTTCAGACATCATTCATGCAGCATCTATCCACTCCTGATGCTTTGATGCCTACTTTACTCAATTTCATTTGATGTTTCTCCTGACATACCCCACTCTCATATAGTGAAGTGGTCCGAAGCATCCTCTTAGGGTACTGCTTGTTGGAGCTTCTTCTGACAAATATTGATTCCTCACAAAAGATTGCATATTGCAACATTTATACAGATTTAAAAAAAATTCAGTGCTTTTGCCATTTTTTCTATAAACAAGCTACCATGTAAGATATACAAATGGATAGGTTTGCTCTACTTTTTTGTGAAATTTTATGTAACTTGCAATCATTCAACCCATTTTGCCTGTCAAACTCAACTACCTTGGCCTTTGGTACCTTAATTTTCAGATCAATATTCTTCTTTGAATTGTACATTTTACTGTAGGTCATTCTGGTTCTCAGAAAATCAGCTAACATCATCTGAATACAAACTTGTACCTATAATCACATCTGCAACAATGTTCCTGTCAGAATGGCTGAGCCCAATTTTCCAAACCACACTGTATTTTGTTCTGTGTTCATATCTAATGTGATTGCAAGCATTCTTGATATAATTAGTCTGCTCTTTTAAACCATGTTCTGAGCATTCCAGTAATTCTTATACATTTTTTTTAACCTCCAACATGTACCACACTTATACCATCCAGTAAGCAGCCTTCAACATATGCAAATCATGCTGTAATTCTATTTACATTACAGGTAGTCTTCAATTTAGGTCCACAATTGGGTCCAGAATTTCTGTTGCTAAGCAAGACAATTATTAAATGAGTCATACCCAATTTTATGACCTTTTTTGTAAAAGTTGTTAAATGTGTTGTTGTTAATCCAGCTTCCCTTCGACTTTCCTTGTCAAAACATGGCTGGGAATGTGGAAAATGGTTGATCACATGAGCCTGAACACTGTAACTGTCATAAATATGTAAAATCATACCATGTGACCATGGGGAATGCTGTGATGATCATAAGTGCAAGGACTGATTGTTATTCAGTGCCATTGTAACTCTGAATGGTTGCTTAAATGAATCAAGGACTACCTGTGTTATACACTCTTTCTCTAAGTCAACAAACATATTTTTTCATACATTTCTGAAGTACTGAAATATCTCCATGCCATCTGTCTGGAATAAACTTATCATTTTCCAAACTTTGTTCCTTGTCAGTAGTTATACTCTTTTCAATTAGAATTCTGCCCAATACTTTCCTGAGTACATCTAACCATCTAATTCCCTTGTAGTTTTGCTTTTCATTCTTCTGTCTTTTCTATCTGTATAGAGGAGCAGTAATGCTATTCTTCCAATGCCCGAGGCAGAGATCCATTGTTGGCATATGAAAACTGTATATACAAAGTATATTTATATGTTCTCCTCTTGAACCTTCAACACCTACAGTTTTATTGTTCTGCCCCATTTTGGTGTGGGTGGGTGTCTATGTGTGTCTGTGTGTATGTGTATGTGGGTAAATGCATAAATCTGTGCCTTTTAGTCAGTTTTTCACTCCTGTGAACTACTAAGACAAGTCCTTCTTGGCAAGACTTTGGAAATAATTTACCATTGCCTCCTTCCTGGGCTAAGAGAGATGGATTGGCTCAAGATTACAGATTTATGGCTAAAATGGGATTAGAACATTGTCCTAGTTGCTAGCCTGATGTTTTTAACCTTAACACCAAAGGGGATCTCTCATTCTTAGTGCTTTACAAACTCCTTACAGTCTCTAAAGTCCTCCTCCAGCATTTCCTCACTTTACTTCCAAATAATATAACTTTAAAAAATTCAGTTAACTCTGCAGAGATCTCATTGTTTAGCTTCTTAATCTACCCCCCAAACATAAAAATTGTTCTCATTTTCTCACTCTTTTAATCTTTAACATTCCTTGCTCTTTCTGGTAATATTCTTTGCACTTAACTTTTTTCCTTATGTATACATTATATTACTTTCAACCTTATTCTTTATCAGCATCATTCTCTTAAATTCATTTTTCCGCAACCATGTTTCCACATTTGTTCTGTCAATCATTCTTTTTCATTCTTTCCATTACTGTAACTGCATTTCATACTGCATTTTTTTAACTCTATTCCAAGAATTTTCCATATCCTTTCCCTAACATATGCTTCCCATTCATCCTTTTGGGACAATCTATCTTCTAATTCTTAAAAAAATGCATCAGCCATTATTTTTCTACCTACAATTCTTTTCAATTCTTTCACTTCAACTTTTTCTCTTCAAAATTTAATGATATATATCACATTCAGCATTTTTAGGTATGCATTGCAATGGGGTAAGAATTATGTAAATAGAAAAGAAAATCATCAAAAGACTGTTGACAACAAGGGGGACTAAAATACATGCAAGTTTTAGTAGGGTTTTCATGTGGTGGGTTCTCATGTTCTTGCCAGGGTCAAAGAGACATCCTTACACTTCAAGAAAAAACTTGAAGCACTTGAGGTGGGCTGGGGAATTTGCTCCCACTTATTGAAAGAAAGGGAATTAAACATTCCACTCTGGAATGTGTAAAGAGTTACCAATTATCTGGAATATTATCATTGTTAAAATCCCTGTGCATCCTCTTTTCACAGAATAATGAGACAGCTATTCTGGAAAATGAGCTGGAGGTGGGGGATAGAACAGTTTCCTTGGAGATGAAATTGACTGTAAAGTAGAGTTCTCACATATCGGAAATTGCATTATATTATTTCCACAATTCATATATCATTTTCTTCTAAAGGAGGTCTGTGCTATCATGCATTTTAGCACTTAGCTAATGAAGAGAATTGAGGTGTGTGTATCTGTGCAAATGGATTTTCTCAATCTATAGGTGTTATGTTGCAGTCTTATCTTTAGTGTATGTGTATTAACTTGAGTTTGTGGGTGAAGGAGTTGAGACAACAGTTAGCATTCTTGATGGTCACTTCTAATACGTTTAAGTGTAAGTGGCTGGTAAATTGATAGTAGAAAGGTGGGTAGATGATCCTACACACACACACACACACACACACATACACACACACACACACAAAAACACACACACACATTTAAGAATACAGTTAAAATACATGAAGAATAAGCACACTACTCCTGGGACAATTTAATTGACAATTAACAATTAACAATTTAATTTAATTTAATTTAATAAAGAGTTTTATATATTTCTGTCCTTAATTCAGTTTTGGAGAATTAGTTAAAACATTGACCACTGGTTCAGCAAGGTAGAATTAATGGACATTTAATGAGACCAAGGAAGATGTTGAGGTACAGTATCTGAATTATTTGTGGGAAAAATAACCTTTTTTGCCAGTTCTGTACTATTTTGATAAAAAGGCTACAGAGAGATTGTAAAGAAATAGCCATCTAGTTGACTTTTCTCAGGTAGCTGTTTAGTTCAAGGTTACTCAGTTGCATTAAAATCTAACACTTCAACCATTTCATTGACTCTCACAATATTTATTCAATAAAGGCATGAGCTGCATGGGAGAAAAGGTAAAATATGAAATATATTATCCAAAGAGCAAATAAAAAGAATAATATTAATCACATTGGTAGAAGAAGAAAGATGATGTCCCCATTTTTAACTAATGTTGCATCCATTTTTGTGCTTTATTTTAGCGGGTCATTGTGGAATTCCAGATCTTATAGTTAATGGTCAGGTGATTGGTGAAAATTATGGATATAGAGACACTGTTGTATATCAGTGCAGTCCTGGCTTTCGGCTCATTGGTTCTTCTGTACGGATATGCCAGCAAGATCACAACTGGTCTGGTCAGCTTCCATCCTGTGTGCGTAAGTAACACAATGAAGGTTATCATGCTTTATGACACCTGGTTTTTCTAAGATGAGGAAAGGGATAAAGTTAGAAGAAGAGCAAACAGTTAGATTCTTTTGGTCAGATAAGTTGGGACTATAGTGTCTAGGAGACAGATACTCAAGGAGAAAATCTATCCATACAATTACTAAGAGTGTTCACTGGCTTGATGGCACATAATAAATCAAAAGTGCCAAGAATTCATAGCCAGAGGATAGGATTGCACCACATTTGTATGTATCTACAGTATCTTGGAAAAAGCAGTGCTACACTGAAAGCCAAAAAAAATTATCTTAATTTAGAATTGTATAGGATATTATTTTACATATTTTATTTATTAATATTTAATTTTATAATGAAATACTATTAAAATACCATATTATATATTGCTATAATTTAGTATAGACCGTTGGGTACTTGTATCATTCAATTCAGTACATATTTCTTGAAAAATAAATAAAATGAAAAATAAATGTTGTAGTCACAATGATGTAGTCATTAGAATTTGATGTTCAGGACAAGCAGGTAATAAACATGTGAAAGGTTCAATAATATTGAAGCATTCATATCAATAGGTTATCACAAGAGCTTTTTCTTCAACCTATCATTAAATTCATTAAACATTGTCTTGTGGAGTTTAATACATACAAAGCAAACATTGTGAATGAAAACCCAACTTTTCTTTTCCAGGATATATTCTAACAGGCAGCATTAGCAGATATATTTCTAAATTGACTTAAGGATAGGTTTAATTTAAATGTATTAATAATTCTGAGTACTTCTAGACTGTAAATAATATATATGGATTAATAACTATTCTGTAGATCAATATGGAGGAAACAAATTTAATTTTTAAAAATAGAATCTCCAACAAAATATTCTGTTATCACCTTCTTCTTTCTTCTGTCAGTCTTAGCTTTTCTACTATCAGTATTCAGTATTCTGAAATGTAAGGTACACTTACAAGTTAGGACATTAATGAATTGGAAGTAGTAAAGATTTGAGTGTGGACACTCACAATACAATTGTTTTTTCATGCAACACTTTCTACTTTCTGTGCAGGATCACCTTTATAGTCTACAAAATATCTCACAAAATAAGAGATTAATATTGGTTATGTAACCTAATTATAACAATATTCTTCTCTTTTTCTTCTTCTGATATTAGCTGTCAGTTGCGGTCATCCAGGGAGCCCAATTTATGGACGAACAAGTGGGAATGGTTTCAATTTCAATGATGTTGTGACATTCTCTTGTAATATTGGCTATGTTATGCAAGGACCAACAAAAGCCCAGTGTCAGGCAAACAGGCAGTGGAGTCAACCACCACCTATATGCAAAGGTGAGATATGTCAAAGGCAGTCTTTTTTTTAATGAAAGGGGTGAGTATTTTAATGATAGGGATTATGCTATTAATATTACAGTTAAAGGTAAAGGTTTCCCTCGCATACGTGCTAGTAATTTCTGGCTCTAGGGGGTGGTGCTCATCGTTACAAAGCTGAAGAGCCAGCGCTGTCCAAAGATATCTCTGTGATTATGTGGCCGGCATGACTAAACACCAAAGGAGCATGGAAAGCTGTTACCTTTCCACTAAAATGGTCCCTATTTCTACTTGCATTATACATGCTTTCGAACTGCTAGGTTGGCAGAAGCTGGGACAAGTAATGGGAACTTACTCCGTTACGCAGTTAATATCCAGTTAGACAACATCAAATGGAATGATACTTTGAATATTTTTATTCTTAGATTTCTGTTCAAATTATTTTTGTTTACAGAAATGTCTGCAGCTGACATGGGCATTATGCTAACTATGATCCATCGGAGGTCTGTGGTGCTCTCTGAGCTTGTTTACTTTCTTGCAGAGGTTTCATTACCCAAACATAGTGCACTGATAATGTTACCTGATTTGGATAATGAAATGTCTGCAATAAAACAGCCAAACTCAGAGAGCACCAAGAAACCCTCATTTCAACCCAGAGCTATAATTATTTTCCTCTCCGTTTAATCCACTATTAAAACAATTGTATTTGATTAATATATACAGCTACTCCTCAATTCATGACTGTAATTGATCCCACCATTTCAACGAACTTGTTAAGTGGCTCACCATTTTTGGTATCAGGAATTTTTTCAGCAGCATGGAAATAAGTGCAGTTTGCCAACAAAAACATTGTACACAGTCACGTAACCATGGAGCACTGCAAATGGCTGTAAATGCAGGTTTATCATACTTAACAAAGTTGTTAAACAATTACTCATAAGTTGAGGACTACTTGTAGTTGGAAAACTATCAGGAAATCCAGGGTCATATGCTATATTAGAAAAAAAATCACAGCATATTGTTCCTGTATTATCATCAGGAGAACATCAGGGACATTATTTCTCAGATGAAGCCTTTTCACTTTCCTTCGCTGCTTCCGACTCTTCTTTGGGAGCGATGTTATTTTCTGTAAGTTTAAATTCCAGGGTACCTTAGTTGTTGCTTTTACAATTTAACCTGGTCAGCCAAAACTTTAACTTCTTATCTTCCTCCTGCACATTCTTTTCCGGTTGAGTTCTCCTTTGTGGTGGCCATTTCTGACCACCGCTGCAACCGCCTTTGGGAAAGGGAGTAATGGCCAGCTGAGGAGGAGAGATGTGGCTCTCCTCAACACTGCTGGCAGTCTCCCCGCTCTTCACCAACTCTACGGGGTGGCTTAGCCCCGAAACCAGTCGGCTCTGGGAGCTCCAGCGGCGAGCCCAGAGAGAAACCGCGCACGATCGCGGATTTCTGTCTATCACCGAAGCCCTTCAAACCAGAAGTCCCTCCTTCACAGATTTTGTTTGTTTGTTTGGAGCTACACAAATTCTGTAGATGTTCTCTCTGTTTTTTTTTCTAAAGTTCCCTTTTTTAAAAAATACCCTCTGCATCTTCTGATAAATTAACATTAACACATTACTTGGAAAAGATAAATGATTTGGGGGTCACTGAACATTAATTTATAATAGTTTAAACTTGATTTTTTTTAAAGATCACTTAATATGTGTATTGATTAGAGTTTCTTTTTGAAAAGCTGAAACATCCAGAAAATTTTATTTGTTTAAAAAGGGGAAAATTGAAACAAATGAGTTGCTTTAAAATCAACAGCTTATATACATTTTCTTTCAAACCAGTTCTTGAACACCCTGAGAAAGAAATTGATTAGTATAAAAATTAATCAAAACTGCCTGGTGGAAGCTAGTTAACTTCTTAAATAACCTGAAGCTAGTAGGTCCTTATATGAAAAGTTAAGTTAATTTACTCCCTAATAGTGGGGCGGGGGGGAGTGGGGAGGCAGAGCAGCATTCATGCTATGAAAACCACTCAGGATATTTGTAAAATGTAATTTTAAAAAACCAGTATTGAAGTGTGTAGGATTGCTACTTACCTTTTATTTAGCATTATAGCAATCCTTACAGTTTTGTTGTTATATAATATATAATATATTGTGTTATTTTCTTTTATTTTTTCTTAGATGTAAACTTTATATGTTGCTCATAATTTTAGTTCTTTATTTTATTATTTATATTCTGGTTTATGTACATTTGTGGTATATTGTAAAGTTTTCTTTGAGTAGTTAGCTTTTTTCTTTCCGTTTTCTAACCTTGCCTGTAACTCTGGAATTTTCTGAGAGTCTTTATTCCTCATCCAAGTTCTAATCACACATGATCACACTTAACTTTTTCAAATCAGTCAAGTTGGGATAAGTGCTGGTATATTTCTCCCACTAAAGGACATTTCTTTCTAGATGCTTTAATCATCAGAGCAGCAAACTCCAATACTATTTAGTTATTTATTTCCTATGGTGCTGTGATGAAAATTAGTTAAAAATGAAAAACTGCCCTTACTTAAACGATTTCTCTATATAGAATGATGATGATGGGGAAAAGAAACATGTTTAATGCATGCTTTATAGCTGATGTGATGGATATGGCTGCCACGGAGAACGCGTAAGTCTGTGAGGTTCAGAGTTTGAAATTACTTAGCTGCACCGCTGGTTAGCTTGATAGAAATTATTGAATGCGTCTGGGCTGAGTTATCAAGATATACTATTGTGCAGACAAAAAACACTAGGTATGCTCAATAAGTGGCCTAATTATTTTTGACAAGATACATAATGACTATAAAATGTAATTTTCATTCAGGGCAATATTTTGCAGGTGCTGCAATCTTTCATATTAGCATTAGGAAGTTTGCCCAAAGTGTTGCTTATTAAATATTATATAGGAAGGTGATGCAATTCTATGGTTACCTATAAGCAAGATAGGTATGTTTACTTACAAGAAAGCAGTGCATTTTCATTAATAGTCTTTCTTTCTCTGGATGTGAATTGGAAATAAAGGTGACTCGTTTTTTAAAAAGCATGTGGATATCAAAAAGTACTGCTGTGCTTCAGTATTAATTCTGTAAGGTTACAGAGACAGAGAGAGTGGCATTAAGTTTTATTCACATAATATCACCACTCATTATAGGATACATACATCATAGAGTGTATGCATACAGAATACAATGCAAATATTTTTCAAGTTTTTCTAGTAAACAAAAAAAATGCATTAAAACACAATATTTATAAGCCAGCATTAATTAATATTAACTTTACATGCCTTTGATATGTGAATGGGAAATATACAGGTCATGTCAATTTCTGTTATTGCTCTTGTTTAGTGGTCAACTGTTCGGATCCAGGAATCCCTGGAAATTCTATAAGAGAAAGTAAAATAGAACATGGAAATTTCACCTATGGAACGGTTGTTTTTTATGACTGCAGTCCTGGGTATTTTTTATTTGGCTCTTCAATTTTAGTCTGTCAGCCAAATGGACACTGGGATAAACATCTGCCAGAATGTATTAGTAAGTATTTTAAAATATTGGTACTTATAACTAAAATTTGCAGTAAGAGCAATCCTAAACACTTGTATTCTAAGAGCTGTTATCCAATTGCAATTCTTAGAAAAACTGACTAAGGTAAGTCAATGTCTGAAGTAATGTTTATTTTTTATTTTTGTATTTATGTTTAGTTATCAATTGCTTACAAGACAATAGGTATAAGTAAAAACATAGTTATGAATACATCGATACATATAAGAAAAATAAAAATATATAAAAGAAACAATAGGACAGGGACGATAGGCACGTTGGTGCACTTATGCACGCCCCCTACAGACCTCTTAGGAAAGAGGTGAGGTCAATAGTAGACAGTCTAAGGTTAAAGTTTTTGGGGTTTGGGGAAAAAACCACAGAGTCAGGTAGAGTATTCCAGACATTGACCACTTTGTTGCTGAAGTCGTATTTCCTGCAATCAAGTTTGGTGCAGTTAACCTTGAGTTTGTATCTATTGTGTGCTCTTGTGTTGTTATGGTTAAAGCTGAAGTATTCATTGACAGGTAGGACATTGCAATGTATGATTTTATATACCATGCTTAAATCAGACCGAAGACGGCGTAATTCAAGGTTTTCTAGTTCTAGAATTTCAAGTCTGGTGGCATAAGGTATTCTGCAACGAGTAGAGGAGTGGAGAACTCTTCTTGTGAAATATTTCTGGACTTTCTCAACTGGGCTAATATCAGATATGTAATGTGGGTTCCATACTGATGAGCTGTATTTGAGTATTGGTCTAGCAAATGTTTTGTATGCTCTAGCTATAATATTAGTGTAATATTATAATAATAGTGTAATATTACCAGAGAAAAAGCTATGTAAGATTAGGTTAACAACTCTTAATGCCTTTTTGGCTATGTAGTTACAGTGGGCTCTCTAGCACTTAGATCATTTGAGATGAGTACTCCAAGGTCCTTGACAAAGTTTGGATCATCAACAAAGTCTTGATTATTCAGCCTGTATTTTATTTTCTGATTTTTTCTGCCAATATGTAAGACAGAGCATTTATTTGTTGAGATTTGAAGTTGCCATTTGATTGACCATTCTGATACATAGTCAAGGTCTTTTTGGAGGGTAGTAGTATTGTCTGTGGTGTTGAATAGCTTTACATCATCAGCGAAGAGAGCGTAGTTGCTCTTAATATGATCAAAAGAGGTCATTTATGTAGAGTATGAAGAGAGTTAGTCCTAGAACACTGCCTTGGGGGACACCACTGTTGACAGGTACAGAATTTGATAGGACGCTCCCAATTTTGACCAAGATTGAAGTCACCAAGAAAGATAAAAGTGTGTGGGCAGGATGGTGTCCATGTTAATAGTGTATTTAGCTTGTTTGCATGTTCGATGTCACAATCAGAGGCTCTGTAACATAGTAAGAACTGAAATGTGATATTTAAGGACAGTTCACAGACGATGGTCTCAGGAATAGCAAGCTCCTGGGTAAATTGGATGTTTTTTAGATGTAGGGACTTTTTATAGAAGATAGCAACACCATCTCCTCTATGGATTTCACGATCTGATTGGTAAACATGATAATCTCTTACTGTGGTAATGGAGTCAGGGAAAGATGCATTAAGCCATGTTTCACAGACAAATATAATGTCGAATTTTGCCGTATTTATTAAGAGGAGAAATTCAGGTATTTTATTTACAAGGCTTCTTGCATTGAGTAGCTTGCATTTAAGGCCAGTTGTGGTTGGAATAGAGGTAGTTAGGGGTGTGCATGCCTAGTTTTGAGTGATGTTGGATTGGATAGGAGCCTTGAGACTATTGAGACAACCAATTAAATATGAGCCAACAGTGAGCGGCGGCAATCAAAAAAAGCCAATGCAATCCTAAATTGCATTAATAGATAAATACAATCAAGATCAAGTGAGGTTCTAATACCCCTCTATAAAGCCTTAGTAAGACCACACCTAGAGTACTGCATCCAGCTTTGGTCACCACACTATAAAAAAAGATGTTGAGACTCTGGAAAGAGTGCAGAGAAGAGCAACAAAGATGATTAGGGGACTAGAGGCTAAAACCTATGAAGAATGGTTACAGGAATTGGGCATGGCTAGTCTAGTGAAGAGGGGAAGCAGTGTTCCAATATTTGAGGGGCTGCCACAGAGAGGAAGGGGTCAAGCTATTTTCCAAGGCACCAGCAGGCCAGACAAGGAATAATGGATGAAAACTGATCAAGGGGAGATACAACCTAGAAATAAGGATAAATTTTCTGACAGTGAGAACAATCAACCAATGAAACAGCTTGCCTTCAGAAGTTGTGGGAGCTTCATCACTGGAGGCTTTCAAGAAGAGACTGGACTGCCATCTGTCAGAAATAGTGTACGGCCTCCTGCTTGGATAGGGGGTTGTATTATATTACCTACAAAGTCCCTTCCACCTCTGTTAATCTGTTATCTGTTTATTTGTTTTTCAATTTTGGTTCACCACAGTTAATTGCCTTTCATTAGGCAACATTCAATAATTTTCAATAAAATATTTTCAATCAAAAATTAAATAATTAAATCAATAAAGCTACATTACAGTGTCAAAAATAGATATTCATGATGTGTTCCTCAGTTAGTGCAAGGCAGATCCTTGCTATTATCTTTGAGCTCTATCACTTTATACCAATAATATAGTCCATCTGATTTCTCTCTGGTTAATCTTCTATGGTCCGTGAATATAAGTATTTATAATATATAAATATCAATTATATATAAGTATTCAGTTTGAAAACTGTGTTCTTGATAAAAAAAAATAATGGGATTGGTAGAAATTAAGATGTTGATATTCTGCTTCATTTTGGTACCTAGTCCATGCAATCTAACTACTTTTTTTCCTCCTTATTCTTTCCAGCTTTGGCTAGTCTCCAGCCACAAGTAGCGTATGTGGCTTGCATGTTTCATCAAATTCAAATTGAACTTGATCATAACATTGATCAGAATTGTCTTCTTCTGCATCAGTAGCGGGTACATAAACTTGGACAATTGTTCTATTAAAAATATGTCCACAAGGTCCAATTCATATTGCCCATTGCATTGTACCCAGGCAGCTTTTTGCTATGCTCTTACTGAGTATGAAAGCAGAGGCATTCCTTGCTCCCAAAGGTGCCTTTCCAAAAGGCAATGGGAGTTTGTTTTTCCTTAAAAATATTTTGCTTCTAACTCAAGAAACTTCTTTAGTTGAGAAACGAAACATCTTCAAAGAAAAACAAAGTACACTTGCCTTTTGAAAAAGCACTTTTGGGACACCCTTGACTTGGATGATTGAGAATCTCCATAGACAGTAGAATTTCTTTTTTGTTTGTTTTTTAGGCCCTAAGTGGTAAATAGTATGATTTGCTGACTGAAATTATCTCAGTTTCTCTGATGCCTAAGATGTCAATGTGTAGTCATCTTTTCATATGGTGAATTTTGCCATGTTCATTTATTTATTATTATTTTATCATTTTTATATCATTTATTATTTTCAGCATTTATTATTTAGCTATAAAGCAATCATCCATCTATCAGAATGTCTTGACTTTCCCAAGGTAACCCTGTCTTTACTACTTCAGATTTGCTTTTTCTACCTGGCAATATCAATAATTAAACATCCCAAAGGCTTTAATCTATCTGAATCGTAAACACTATTAGTGTTCCAAAAGATCCTCAGTTCTTCTTCAGTAGCTTGATGAAGACCATCTGACCTGAGGGACCCATCATCTGGCAGTATATCATCAATCACTTTACAGTGCCTCTTCATGTTGCTTTCCTTTCCTATAAAAGGAAGGAGTGCTTTACCATTGTCTTTCTTCTATGGAGTATGAAATGAACCCCCCCCCCCCCCGTGTCACTAAAATTAGTATATTTTTCTGACATCTTCCTACCTAGCAGTTGCCTGCTTGCTTTAGTGGAGCAGCTAAAATGGCCTTCACATCTTGGATGACTTTGCTGAAGGTCACCAGTAATCTTTGTTCATCCTTCTCTGCTTTGCTATCATGTGGCAACTGAGCAGATTTGAGGGTTGAATGACTTTCTTTCGCTCTGCAAAATGAAAAGGATGATGACCTTGTGAGGGATGTGGAAAATGAATTATTATTCCAAAGTAATTGACCTTAGCTGGAAAACCAACTCTTGTCCAGATTAGCACTTTACAAGAAGAATTGATCTGGCTGATCAGCCAGCTGTTTTCATGATGGTAGATTTGATTTCTAAAGACCATAATACTATTGATCTTGATTGTTGCATAGATATTTGTCATTTCTAGGTTTATTCAAAAACAATTGTTGTAACAGTTCTTTTTAAAGCTGAATTTAGAGGTTGGTATTTCTCACAAAGCACATACCTTGACTCCTAGGACTTATTAAAACTGACCTTACAATTTCTTAACTGCTCTATTTTCAGAGTTAGAATAGAAGATACCTTTTAATGTCCAAGCCTAAGACCAAAATCTAATGTTTTGTGCATGATCACAACATAATCTCAAAAGGGGATACCATATAACAAGAAACTATTGCAATACTCTCTGTAAATTCAGATAAGACTGCATGTTTCTTTGTTTATTTTTAAAAGGTTTGAAATATAACAAACAAACACACACACACACACACATACACACTGTGTGAGAGAGAAAGAATAGCTATAGGTTAGTGAATACATTGGTAATAATGAAGAGCAATTTGTTCTATGAATTATATGAAAAACATGTCTATAAGATCATCTTCACCATAATATTGTATTGGTAAAATATATTGATAGTGTGCTGGCATAGTGGAGAATTTAGTTGGCTGATTATAACATAATTTTTATCTCCAATATTTATGTATCGTAGTGATTGACTGTGGTCATCCTGGCATTCCCCCAAATGCGATCCTTTCTGGAGAGAAATACACATTTGGATCTACTGTTCATTATTCTTGTTCAGGAAGGAGATCATTAATAGGCCAGGCATCCAGGACATGCCAATTAAACGGACACTGGAGTGGAACAATGCCTCATTGCTCAGGTACCACTTTTAAAGTATGTGAATGTGCTTTTGAAACCATCCAATACAGCTTTCTTTTTGGGTGCCCTTGTTTCTTTTTCAGGATTTCTAAAACCAGACCGCCTTTAAATCACAAACAATTGTAATCAAAGATAAGTTTCATATTAGGTGCCCTCATTCACATATAAATTCGCAAAACTAAAAGGGAAGTGATAGATTTCAAACAACATTTAATCTAAAAGAAAATTAGTAAATAAAACAGGAAGATTGAAAAGTAGGTAAGGAATTTATATATTCTTTCTCTTTGCATATTACTGGGAAGGATGTTACATTTCATATGGGTAATTTGTGCATCACCATTTTCTTCTCCTTGATTTGTTTTTGTTTAATTTGGAAAATAATTGCTGCATACCAACAGTCTTCATCCATATAATATCTGTTTCTGCTGAACTCATATCAGAATAGTTTCTGGAGAAGATTTTTCAAAACTATCTCTAATTCATGGCATATTAGAGAACTAAAATTCCACAAGGGTATCAATACAGCTTTCAAATAAATAGAAATATATAGTTTGATTAATAGTATAAATAGCAAGCAGAGCTGTGCTTTGTTATATTGTTTAAAATTAGAATCACATCAGAACCATAACACATAACTTGAAGGAAGCTGAATGTCTTAATCTTTTTCTTAAACAAATGTGTTGTGATAGTTTTAATTGTATAAATTATTATTGTAAACTGATAGAGATCTCTGGAAAGTTCAGCTGTATACACAAGTTATAGTATTATCTATTAGCTACATCTTTAAAGTTACTGTTTTGGTGTTTAGCTTCCTCAAAATTTGGATGTTCTGGTAAAAGCTTACTGGAATTGAAATTCATACAGCACCTATGTAGAGATTTGTGAGTGTGCCTGTGTCTGTGTGCTGTTTACCTTGTATTTGGTAGATTTATCAGAAAGTTGCAGAGGTGGATATATGAGTTTTAAACAAATGCACCTGTTAATGTTAAACAGATAACTGAATAATATCTAAGTTGTACTGTAGCTTAACAAAAAGTAGTATTAAATGGCATATTCACACAAGTCAAGGACTTGTGTACACCGATATAAATAAGAAAGCATAAACAGTTTCTGTGGATTAACTCTCACATGGAAGTTATGATTTGTGATCCTAGAAGGTACATCTTCCATAGTAAAATAGCAGGTTTAATAATTGTCTTGTGGCAAAACTAACATGTATTCAATAATTCCTAACATGCTTTGTTATTATATCCTATTCTTTAATCACACAACAATAAGAGAGAAGAAGAGCATATGATGGACACTATTTCTACATAATCAAATAATATTAGAAGGATTGCCTATATATTATTATTTGCTAAAGGACATATAAATGTATAGATGAAATATTTTCTCATATTCCAAATGTAACTGGAAATGTAGGAACCAATTTCACTTTATTTTACAATGCTTGTAATAACTTACAAGCTTGAAGCTCCAGAGAAACTTCTACAACTTTATAATAAATTCATAATATGACACATTTTTCTTGTAATGTATATCACATTTTACTCTTGGTAAACTGCATTTTTATTACAATAACTTGGACACTGATTTTTGCCGCAGTGTAATTTACGCTGAATATAATTTGATTTTAAACTAGACAAGCCACTGACTTTAGTTATAACTCATATTCTACATTGAGCTCGATAGATTCTTTAAAAAACAATATCATAGAAACAAAGCACTGGTTTTATTTTATTCTGGTTTTTTTTAAAAAAATAATAATAATTCAAGAACATTAAATAAGGGACTTGAAATTTCTATGGTCTCAGCTGAGTGCTATATGTTCCAAATTAAGAAAGTCAGTGTACAATTGTTAAGTCTGGAATGGATACCTTCCCCCCCCCCCCCACTTTTTTTATAGCCTACTTTTATTTTTGCACCGATTATAAATTGATTCCTCTTGTTTCAGGTTCCTATAGCAGGACCAATACAATGTAACTCTAAGTATTCTATCCCAAATGATCTTTTTTCTTCCAGGTGACACAGCAGGAACTTGTGGGGATCCAGGAATCCCAGGCCATGGTTCTAGAGAACAAACTAATTTTAGAACTAAAAGTGTTGTACAGTTCTCTTGTGAGCTTGGTTACATCCTTCATGGATCAGAGGAAAGAACTTGTTTGGCAAATGGAAGTTGGACAGGAAGGCAACCAGAATGTAAAGGTAAATTATTTTCATAACTGTATTGGTTTTAAAAGCACTGCATGAGTTTTTATTAAACAAAAAGTTATAATAAAGTCCAGTGGTGGGATTCCAAAATTTTTACTACTGGTTCTGTGGGCATGCCTTGGTGGGCGTGGCAAAGGAAGGATATGGTAAAATCTCCATTCCCACCATACTTCTGGGGAAAGGTTACTGCAAAATCCCATTCCCTCCCCACCCCACTAACCTGCTTTCCAGCTCCATTTTCCTATGTAAAAGATTTTCCTATGTAAAAGATTTTCCTATGTAAAAGAAGCCCCAGTCAATCAGCTGGGACTCGGTAGGCAGATAATAGATGGGGGCCAGTCAGAAGGTGGTATTTGCCAGTTCTTTGAACTACTCATAATTTCAGCTACCGGTTCTCCAGAACTGGTCAGAACCTGCAGAATACCACTTCTGATAAAGTCATCATATATCTGAAATCTATTAGCTGCTTATATTAAACCTAATGACCTTAACACAGTCATGTATAGTTTTGTGTGTGTGTGTGTGTGTGTGTGTGTGTGTGTGTGTTTTCTTAAGTTTTTGCGGGTATTTACATGTATGGTATTCAGCTTTGTTCGGGTATTTTCCCACGTCATTATAGTTGTGCTTTTAAAGTTGTAGCAACGTTTTGGCAGAATCTCATCTGCCATCATCAGGCTTCTGTATTGAGTTCGTCTGTGAGTCAGACTTTTATAGTTGTTTCAGTTTTAAATTTGGGGCTAGCCTACTGCTGTGCCAGAATGGTTTTTTCTTCATCCTGATTGGTTGGGAGTCTTGGTCTGTGTTTATTGGTCTTGGATTTTGTTGTGTTCTGCTTGATTGGTGTTTCTAATATCTTCTGTCTGTTTTGTGGCTTTTTTTTTGTCTTGATTGGCTGGCAACATTGTGTTCCTGTATTGGAGGCTTTTAGTGCAGCTTGGCTCCGAGTAAATGGACGGCTATCATTCATTAGGAAGCTAGGTTTCATCTGGGTGCCTGGTTGGGGTGTGTTTGAGCTGGAGGTATCAGGGGGGATCTGTTTGTGCCCAGGTGTTTGCCTGGCTTGTGATGTGGAGATTTTTTTGTTTGTGAGTGCAAGCAGAACACAGCAAATTCCAAGACCAATAAACACAGACCAAGACTCCCAACCAATCAGGATGAAGAAAAAACCATTCTGGCACAGCAGTAGGCTAGCCCCAAATTTAAAACTGAAACAACTGTAAAAGTCTGACTCACAGACGAACACAATACAGAAACCTGATGATGGCAAATGAGATTCTGCCAAAATGTTGCTACAACTTTAAAAGTACAACTATAATGATGTGGGAAAATACCCGAACAAAGCTGAATACCATACACACACACACACACACACACACAAACACACACACACACATTCTGAGGGAACCAAATCCTAGGAAACTTCCAAATGTTTCAGTCCATAATGAGACAACTAATTACAGCCTCAAGACAATTCAATGAGGCATAACTCAAGAGAGGGACAAGTGAGTTGCAGCAGACCTTGTACTGATTTTAAGTGTGAGCCTTCTCAGATTAGAAGTCCTTGAGGCTGAAGTGACCTACAATTTTATTTGTCCCTCTCTTGAATTATTCTGTGTTGAATTGTCCCATGGCGAGTTGGCTGTGATGAGTTGTTCTACAGCTATTTCAGTCATATCTATTCACTGACTTATCTGTTCTATTTCCTACTCATGGGTATTTGCAGAAAGAAAACGAAACCAGATGATGAAAGTTACCCTTCAGTATTTGCTTGCAATATCATGATTCATGTTCAGAATGACAGGGTTTATATAGTGATATCATTCTGCACATTTTGTCATTTTGGTTTAATGAAGTTAAGTGTGGACCCTGCTTATTTAATGCAGCCTAGGCAAGCCAAAAGATTGGACACCCATGACTTAGAGCACTGCAAGCAGTTGTACTCATGCATTTTCCATGGGACATATCTGTAGTGGAATTTATCCTGAAGTAAATTAAAAATCCAACCTTACTTTTTGAATATGATCACAACTCTATGAAATCCTTGTGCTCTCTGAGCTTAGTTGTTGGTCTTCTAAACATAGTATACAGAGTGTATGTCCTAGGAAAAACTAAGGAACAGGAGAAGTGGCTTTCTAATAAAGCAGATTGTTTGTTTTCCTAATATAGAATTGCCTGTCATGACAAGCAGGGAGATATACTTCTCATAGAGATGGTAGAAACTGAATTTGAATATGTCTATACACAAATTATATACTCATTCCTAGAGGTAGAACCCAATTCAGAGTTAAAATTGTTAGGGATACTAAGGAATTTTGTTTTAGTCACAATCACAATAAAATAAATTCCTCCAGTCCATGACACAGCACAAAGTATGCTAATATAGATTTTTCAACTTCAGAGGCCATTCTATTCTGCCATAATGAAGAAGTTGGTTCTTGGTATTGTCCTTATAGTTTCCAGTGTAGGACAATGACCTAATTTTTCTAATTTTTTGACCATTCTAAGTTTTCTCCATTTTTTTTTTTACCAACTGGGAAATAAATTCCTTTCATTGCTATATTTGAAGTTGTATGAGTCACAGTGGCACAGTGGTTAGAGTGCAGTACTGCATGCTACTTCTGCTGACTGCCAGCTGACTGCAATTTGGCAGTTCAAATCTCACCAGACTCTAGATTGACTCAACCTTTCATCCTTTCGAGGTGGATAAAATGAGGACCCAAATTGTTGGGGGCAAGATGCTGACTCTGTAAAACTGCTTAGAGAGGGCTGTAAAGCACTGTGAGTCTAAGTGCTATTTCTATTGCTGTATTTTTTTCAATATATATATATAGATTTGATTGGTGTTTTATATAATTTATGCAAAGCAATTTATGCTTTCATTTTTATGCAACTTTCTCTGCTATAGTACACTTTTTATTTAGATATAGCTAGCACTTGCATACAAAAATGATGCTGTTTTATCTGTAATTTTTTCCCCATAACTTTTCCATAAGATTCCCTTTGAGACTATTGTCATTGTCTTGGCTGGTCTCTTAAAATGAGCATATTTTATGCAAACTAAAATTCATGTATGATTGACATTGATAGCATCTGGCATCATTGTATTCTCTGTGGGAATATCATTTGTTGCAAATAATTTGAACAGTAATTAGTGTTTGATAGGACACAAAGATCTGAGTACAATAAAACAACTTGGTTTTAGCATTTTTAGTAACAATTGAGCACTCCACCAGCAGAAATAATCATGTACTTTACAGGTGTGTAGTAAGTAATACAGATTTGTTTATTTTAAATAAATTTGTGTGCTAAATAGCTGTGTACTACTTACAAAAATTAGCTAGATTTATAAATATGGTTAGTGATAAGAGTATTCTCTTTTCACAAAATCAATTATTATGGTGTACATTTAAATTACAGTTCAATTTTATATTAACTAGAAGATGAGGATCCATAATGAGCTACTACGGTGATTTCAAAATGATAAATGCAACATGACTTCACTACACAAATGATACAGTCATTTGTTTGTATCAGGATGTCTGAGGCAGGTGCAACTATTTCACCCACATGATGTAGATTTACACATATGCATATATACATACAGATAGGCACATGTATATGCCAAAATGGCCTGAAAATACTGAATTACAACACAAAAGATAAGTAAATAAAATAAATAAAAGAATTGTGAATTTTGAAACTGGGCAATTCAACCTGGAATTTTTCAAATTGGCTAGAATTCTTAAAATAAAATAATTTAATGAACAAAGCGATAGATAAGAGAGTGAGATCATGCTGAATGTTATTAGAGACTTGCTGTCTAAATGTTTGCCAGTTGAATTGTATGAGTGGGCTTGTTAAAGTAAAAAAAAATGATTATTTATGTTAAAAAAAAGATTTTCAATAGGTAGCCATTAGTACTCTAGTGTACAACAAAAATGTACATGGCTTTTTGCCCTGTAGCTGTAGTACTGAATAATTTATTTACTTTTCAGAATGTTCATTTTCCTGCTCAGAAGCAGCAAATGATCAGGAAAACGTGATAACATTTGATATAAAAAATTAAGCTGATAAAAGCAAACTATTTCATCTTTTCAAAAATGTAGATAAAAGCTGAGAATATTTTCATGAAAAGCCATAAATTTTGAGCTATAGTTCAGCATTTCAATTCAAGCTGTGTAGAAATTTATATGGCAGAATATTTATGGTATTCTGAAAACTGCAACCATATTTCAATCAAGAAAAATTAAAGAAAGGCTCCATTTCAGCTGAATATATGAAAAATTGGGAGGAAAACTCAAGGCATTTGGGCAAGATTTATGCCACTGAAAAGGAAGCGGTTTTTATCTCCTTCATGTAAACTACTTTTTAATGAGTAGATTGGATTGTTAGTTGCAACTTCAATTATTTAAGCTATTAAGTAATTGTTCTCTGTGTTTGTTTTCCTTCCCAATTCTGGCATTTCCACACTGACTGTTCAAGCTGTTCAGTGTGGTAACCCTGGAACAACAGCTAATGGGAAAGTGTTTCAAATTGATGGCACAACATTCTCTAGTTCTGTGATTTATTCCTGCATGGAAGGCTACATTCTGTCTGGACCTTCTGTACGACAATGCACTGCCAATGGGACATGGTCTGGTTCCTTGCCAAATTGTACAAGCAAGTATCCATTGTTCCTACTATTATAACCATCTTTAGGACACCACCTACATCTGCTATATTTGGGGAAAGTCAGATTGGGGAAAAAGAGCAGATTTAGCTTTTGTTTTTCCCAGGACCAGGTTTCCAGAGCTTGACTATTCAAGATTGTTCCATGCAAACCAATGATGGTGTCTTAGCTTCTCTACACAGAGAAGGCAAAGACAGCTTGGAGACTTGAGGCATCCATCAGATTGCTCTTGTGTAACTTATGATGCATCTCCAGTGTTCCTTGCCCTTTGTCCCTACTTCCCTCTGTTTTTATCTTAACCCACTTGACTCCCATTTTTGAAGGGAAGAGTGGTCCTTTCTGTCATTAGCCTGCAAGTGTTAATAGTGCTGCTGAGGCTCTGAGATGTTCAGCACTCAATATAATAGCTGACCTGAGTGACTAACGACAGCAATGATGGGTGAAGATTTACGGCGGCAGATATAAGTATCATGCAGTCACTGAAAGTTAACCCTGTCTTGATGGCACATAATAAGTTTCATGGGAAAAAATGGAAAGAATATTACTGCCCTTTTGCTGTAATTATGTATTATTTCTTATGTGTAGGTTGAATCTTTTCTAATGAAAGGAACTATACTTCAGTGTTAATGCACAATTATGTAGATATGCCTAAGCAATTCCTGGCCCCACTGCCTAACACTACATGTGTTCATTTGGGCAAAAATAGTACACCCATCCCTGGGTCTACCAGATTCAGATTTCCTGGAACCATTAGACAAGGCTGCTGTTAACTCATAAAACATTTTGTATACATGTTTTATAGTTGTCAACAGAAAGAAGGTGGGGGAAGTTTCAAAGAGCAGGCAGGAGTGTGGAATTAAAAGTACATTCCATTCATATTTATTTCAAAGACTGATTAGAAGACTGAAGCTTCTGTGCAAAAATCTAATTGGAGAGCATGATTGATGACTCTTGGCTATGGACATGTTTCGTTGGATGATAGAACCAGAGGGGTGGGGGGAAAGCAGGGTCAAGGGTGACAGTGAATTATATATCTTAGAGTTGGCTAGGCCTAGGCAAATGCCGAAATGTTAACTTCTAATAAATCCTCTTTAGCTTTGGGAGTGTGGCTCGAGGCTCATGATTTAATTGGAGTAACTGCCAGAATCCTGGAATCATTAGACAAGGCTGCATCCTTTACCCCCTTTCTCAATTAGTTCTTTTTGGGTTGGAAGATTAAATGTTTGTGGCCTTAGATATGATGTCAAACTATAAGGTGCAGTCTCCTGAAGCTGTTCAAGCAATCTCTAAAGTGGACAACTTGCACAAATTTCTGCCTTTTGCTAAATATAATTTCCTTCTCTTTTCAAGTCAGCATATAGTAGGTGGGATGCTGAAGGAAAAAAAATAAGGTCTCATTTTATTGTCCCAACACCTTGACACAGAAGATGGTTGGCAGATAAGAGAGGACCTTTTAGGTAGCAGTTGTTGGAAAACTGCCAGCTAGTCTGGAAGAGCAGGTGAGAGTCAAGAATGGGCTTACCTTAGAGTCCTTGCACAGTCACAATAGGAATAAGCTTAAACTCCCCTTCCAGGCTAGCTGGCAGTTTCCCAGTAGAAGCAACTTGCCATTGTGAATCATTGTCCAGAATTCTGCCATTATATTACAAGACTATCTTTGTCTTAATTCAAGCTTCACAAAGTTAGAAAAGTGGAAATGAAAGAAGTTGCCATCGATATCACATTCTAAAATTATTCTAGATTGTTCACCTTCTAAAATGGAAACACCTTTTGTCATATTATTACATCTTCAATTTCCCCCCCTTCATAGTAATCAGTTGTGGAGACCCAGGAATACCAGCCAATGGATTGAGATATGGAGATGATTATGTAGTTGGACAAAATGTTACTTACATGTGTCAACCTGGGTACACAATGGAAGCCAACAGTTCCAAAATTCGTACTTGTACTAGTAATGCTACATGGAGTGGAATTCTGGCAACTTGTAAAGGTACTGCTTTGAATCTGGGTATATGGATGGGTCGGTGGGTGGATGAATGGATGGATGGATGTAGAGAGATACAGAAAGTGTGTGTGTGTGTGTGTGTGTGTGTGTGTGTGTGTGAGAGAGAGAGAGAGAGAGAGAGAGAGAGAGAGAGAGAGAGAGAGAG